TTCTCCTCGGCCCATCATAGTCAGAGATAATGTATGTAGATCATAAATAAAAATGGTTAAAAGGCTGTTATTATCCATAGTCAGTATCTTCTTGAAAAAAGTGGCGTTAAATATAAACATTTTTGCTTTAACATTTTAGAATTCAGACATTCAGATGTACTGATAATAATGCAGTTTATATCACTCCGCATAACATTTCTTCTTACATTAATTGTTCAATCAAGCATATCGGTTCCAGTTCCTGCTAAACCTAAATTAGGTAAGGCTGACCATGTCCTAGGTGAAAATGGTGATTTACAATCTGCAAACACGGGTATTGCAAGATGGGCTGTACGATCTAAACTTGACGGAGCGTCGTCTGGTAACAATATGGGGCATCAGCATTCGAACCAGAATCTGACGACTGGTGTTGAACGTGAACAGCTGCTTGGTATGTATCACGTTTTTGAGGATTTTGCTCCTCACAATACAATATCTGTTGGCGGTTACTGGAGTAATGTGAATATGACTGGTAATTTATATTGTGAGATGGAAAAGGTACCTATTTGCCAAGAGCTAAGTGCTGTAAATGAACATCGTCGATGTTTTCGATATCAAAACGAGAATGAACGATTAAATTATGGCTCACTGTTGTTAAATACTAGTGATATTAAAATAGTTACACCCGATAGAAAAATGTATTTGTTACCATTTCCACACCCATTTAATATAACAGTTGTTAAAACAACACCTATAGCTGGCTGTCAAAACAATCCAATTACATGTCATCCGATTGTTTCAAATGGGTGCCTGGTATACGTATGTCATGTGTTACAGAATACAAAAGCATTTCAGGTAACAGTTAATACTGAGGGCAATTTAGGTATTGTTGATATGATCGCTATATGTCATTACGAAACAGCACAATTTATTCCTGCACATGTTGCGTTTCGATTATTGAATAAAGCTCCGGGTGATGTTGTTTGTCATTTTGTTGGTGTCCCAAATCATTTGATGTGTAAAAATGAGAAGCAACAACCTTGAATATGACATTAACTTTATTGCTTTTATGATAGTGTCTTGTTTATTACTTAGTTCTGTAATACGTTCGCTGTTTAATAAACATTATCTGCTTCAGTCCAAAGGAGGGGGAGCAATTTCTACAGGAAAACGGTCCCCGCTGGTTTTTATTAATTCGTGGTGATGGTCATAACTGATTATATCCACGTGTATTCAGGTGAAGAACTACTGCCAGAAAGATTAAGAGTGAAGGTATATAAGAAAGCTTCATCCGTGCAACTTTCATTTAACTCAGCGCATTATGTTGCTGAATGTGCAAGATATTTCACGGCGGAAAGGAAAAGTTAGTAGTGCATTTCATAATAATACACGAACTATACCTGGAGACGAAAAGCATGGCCTCTGAGTTCACCTTGACGTGTCCCGATGATTGATAAGATAGAAGAAAGTCTTGGCTATCGAATTGGCGCTATATTTTTGAGTTCGTCGTTAGCTAGATTGTCATGTGACTAACCTCCGCCATCCGATGACTTTTCCTGGCCCGAGGACAATACGCGAGGTCCACGTTCAAAAATCGTACCCAGTGCCCTCCTATAACACAATAATCCCTTGTTCTGGTCGAGGCGTCCATTTCATGATTTATTATTCATGTGCTAACTCGACACTCCTCTGAAACATATTTTTAAAAGAGTCTTTTACGAAAGTTTGACGAAACTCGAAGAAGGAAGGAAAAACCTTCCTTTACACCTTTCTCAGAGACTTCCTAAGAAATAGGATCAAAACTTCGTTTTAGCCTATTTCTTTCTCCATCACGTTCTATGTGTGTGATATTTGAACGAGTCACAGGCGATATTCTTATATAACATCGACAAAACGTTCGTTGTACTTAAAACAGTCTTTATTCTTTCTCGTTCTAATAAGAACATTTGTCCATATGTAGTGAGAAACATGTGACACTGACGAAAATATATATTTTTGTTCTCTCTTTGTCTCCTTCTTATATGTAAAACATGTGACAATAACGAAAATATATATTTTAGTTATCTCTCTCTCCTTCTTATATATATCTTATTATGTGGAAATCTTCTGATAAAATTCGTTATCTAACCTGTCATTCAAAGTGCATTAGTGGATACACCATCCGCTATTAACATGATGAGTCACCGATTCGATGCCTACACTAATACTTCTTTACTAATAAAAATGCGGAAGAATCTAAAAAAACTCAGATTCATCTAAAACTATTTGAGCACATATCATTCGGCTCAGGTTTTGATATTGATTTCGAAAATGACTTTAGTTTTACATGAAACTGAAACTTGGTGCAACATACTTGTGCGTTTCCTTGGTTTCTGCCATGGTTTACGGTTAGAATCACGTGGAAGAAAATGTTCCATCTCTGAACTGAAAATAATAGATAGGTTTGGAGTACTCACCGTCAGCATCAAACGAACCTGTTCGAGATTCATTTTTTCGTGTACGTTTTTAATTTTGTTCTGTCCGAAAGCCGGTGTTCTATATGCAGTTTTACACCAAGAATCGGCCTAGAACTGAATCACTTAACAAAAACACTGAAAAGATGGGGATTTCGCTTGGTTTTGCCTATTTTGGAAATTTTAAAATTTCAGCTTTTCCACTCAAATAACCTTTTTTTTAAAAATTAAAATCCACTTTTTTCTGTGTACCTCGACCTGCTGTATCCAATTAGCCATAAATAAAACTAAAAATCTGCTAATTCTTAATTTTCTGGCACCTTAGTTTGTTGCATTTTGCGATAGCACGGAGTGAAAACAAAATAACCGCAATATCTTTATTAATATTTTTACTTACAAACTAGTGCTCCAGGTGAAACGATCCTCAAGAAAGCTTAGTCAGGAAATATAACTGTTCTATTCAAAGTCGTCTCGTTTCCAGAATATATTCGGTTAAATTTTGAAACTCGTGAGTATATCAGACTTTCTCGTTATCGCAATTGTGACTAGAATCAATGATATTTTGCAAAAATTCACCGATAGTTTATCGTACGCTGAAAAACGGTTGTTTGTTATCGATTTTCAATCACAAAAGTATAAATGGGTGTAAAACTGAACTCGTCGGACAAGATCGTTATTATATTACACTAATAGCAGTCAACACGATCGGGATAGCAAATACTGATCCTACTTCATGTCGTTATAAAAACAAATCGCGCAAAACTTTTGCTTTAACATCACGATGCTCAATGTGTTGTGTAAACAACCTGTATATTACGACAAGTTTTTACTGCAACCAGATAATAAACACTGTGTTGATATCGGTCACGAGCATTATTCGAGTCACTCGAATAATGCTCGTTTCTACAGAATAATGACGATAATAACAATTTTTACTTGAACGACCACACAAATGACCACAGTGGTTAAACTGTGATCTTTCTAAACATTTACCGATCCTGGTTTCAATAAAAGATATTTTTGAGTTGATCGAATTTTATAGGACCATTTAGACTCTCAAAAATACTACTACCAATAGTATTGCTGGTTAATAAATTGACCACGTAAGAATAATTTTCAGCATCAGATGAGTTTAATGGATTATACAACTTTTGACTGACACTAAAAAATGACGATAACTTATCGTCATTTTTTAGTATCAGTCAAAAGTTGTGCTTAGTACGCATGTGTTATGTTATGCTTAATAAGCATACTTAGGGCAATCCAAAAGTAGTGAGGGAGGTACTTTATTTTCTTAAGGAGCGCTTCAAAAACATTTCTCTTTTAATGAACAGATAGAGCGTCTTTCGCTCTATTTTTCTATGCTATTTGATCA